CAACGCATTTTAAGTGTTGCACGCGTTTAGTGTTGGAAAATACGGGAGTGGGCGTTAGAGAAAATACAATACAGTTTTGCAGTTAATTGCAGTGAAAGAGTCTTTTCAGCTGGGGCTCAAATAAATACAATAATTTAACAAGTTCATGGAAAATTTAATAGTAATTTTTAGCTTCTATGAAATAAATAAAAGGAAAATAAATAAAAAAAATATTAGAATAAATAATATAGAAAAAAAAAATAGAGTAAAATTAAATAAAATAGAATGAAATAACGTAAATTAAGGTAAAATAAAATAATAAAAGTAAGTATAATAAAAAATAAATAAAAAAAAACTATTTTTTAATGTTAATGTTCGGAAAATACAATGAAAAGTTTAATATTTAAGTAGAATGAAGTAACGTAAAGTAAGGTAAAATAAAATAATAAAAAAAATAAATATAATAACAAAAAAAAAATATTTTGTAATGTTAATGTTCGGCAAATACAATGAAAAGCTCTTTAAATAATAAAGTAAAACAGAATGAAGTAACGCAAAGTAAGGTACAATAAAATAATAAAATAAGTAAAGTATAATAAAAAATAAATAAAAAACTATTTGTTAATGTTCGGTAAATATAATGAAAAGTTCTTTAAATCAAAATAAAAACTATTTTAACATGTGTTCGGTAAATACAATGAAAAGTTCTTGAATATAATTATGTATATATTTTTAAGTAAATATATATATATATATATATATATATATATATTTCAAGTATATATTTTTACGTAAATTATTAATTTCAATTATTATTAAGTAATTAAATATCTAAGTAATTGTCAAATAACTAAGTAACCGGTAAAAATAAAGAAAACTTATATTATAACTTATTATATTATATTATATTTGGTATATTGTATTATATGTATTTTACCTAAAATATTTATTATTTAGAAATAATGGAAGTTCGGTGCTAGAATTCACTATAGGGTATACTTATGTAAATAGCACTGACCCGACATCAAATGCTCCTTGTCCAATAATTCTATTAGCCTATCAATTCAACAATTTCAGTTCTATGTAGCATCGACCAGGCCTAGACAGTTGGTCAACAGCCCGAACTACTCGTAATGTCGTCCATTTGATTTGTTGCCACTTGTGACGCTTGAGTGACAGCAATACAGGCAGAGGTGGTAAGGAATCTATAGGGTATATATGTATGTACATGTATACAGAAATCCTAAACTGGTTTTTCAATTCAACAAGAACAACATTTAGCGCTCGCTGCGCTGTCATTTAGTTGGTTTGTCCGGAGTCAGAGGAGCTGCCCACACTAGAAGCTGTAATTAATTATTTGATAAAAGTACAAGCATTAAGTCAATTAAAACTAAATTTATGCCAAACGTTATCTGATGCTGACAAAAGGCGTGATTTACAAGGTGTATTTAAAACGTGTGGAGATTTTTCTAAATTCAGAGTTTTTAGTCTCTGTCTCTCTCTCTCTCTCTCTCAGTGGGCAGTTGCTTCTACAGCTACCTGGCTATAAATCCTCGGCCAGTTGAGTGGGTCGAACATTTAGCAAAAACCCAAAACACATAACTGAATAATCCAGTAGTTATTCGTAGCCTTTCCATTTAAGAGTCTCGTCGTTCGTTCCTTTGCTTTCTTCGTAAACTCTTTGCCTAATCTAATCAACGTTAAAGCTTCTTTGGTAAATTCTCAAATTTAAACTCCGACTGCAATTAAGAGAGTTCACCACACAGCCATTCAAGTGCAGGCCAGCAGGAGTGGCCAAGTGGCTGAGTGGTTGGGTGATTGGGTGGTGCGATGGGGTTAGGATGGGCTTCTGCGTTTCTACTCTGTTTCGAGTGCAACTTTTCTAAATGTTTCTGCAAATTTGTTAACTGTAATTTTGTGGTCAAGAAACAAATACACACGCACACACGCACACATACACAAACGCACTCACACTCAGACAAAGGGACAAGCTACATTTTGTGCTTTCTCAATGGCATCCATTCATATGCACTGAGAGAAAATTAATAAAGATAGAATTTTTATTTATAGTTAGTTTGGTTTTTTGAATACTTATTAAACAAAATAATTGGAGCAAGCTTTCACTGTTAAAAATATAATACATTTTTAAATTATATTTACAAGCACTGCAAAAACTATTTTCTCTTAAAGTAATGATGATTTATTAAATAATCAAATTAAATTAGTTAAATATAATTAAAAGACAAATCCTGATAATAGTTTTTAATTTTAAATAAAATTTGTATATATTTAAAACATGAAAAATACAAATATAAATTTTGTTTTTAATATATATATAAAAAAAAAAAAAACAAATTATATTTATTCAAAAAAAAAAAAGAACATTATTAAGAATTAAAATTGTAATTTAAGAATTAGCTCAATATACTAATATAGCAAATTATGCTATGCAATATATATTTTTTTTAGTTAGCGCATCATTTTTTAAAATTAATTATTTAATTTATTCAATATTAAAAATAATAATCACATCATATAATATTTTTTTTTTGTAACAAATTATTATTGAATGTTGTAGTTTAATAATTAGTTAGCAAATTAGAATAAAATAGAAAAATATACCATACAAAAACAATTTTTATTTAAATTAAAAATAACATATTTTTATTTAAATGCATTTATATAAAAAATAAAAATTAATTGTAATGATTAAAATTATAATTATTTAAATTTAACTAATGAGCTATAATTTGAATAAAAATTTACTTAAAATAAATATAATAAATATAATATTAATATAAATATAATATTTTAAGTAAATTTTTTTTTAATAAAAAAAATATTATAAATATAATTTTAATATAAATATAATATTTGGGTAAATTATTTTATAAATTGAATGCAAATTTACTTAAAATAAATATAATATTAATATAAATATAATATTTTGGGTAAATTATTTTATAAGTTGAATGCAAATTTACTTAAAATAAATATAATAATATTATATATAAATAAATGGTAAATTATTTTATAAGTTGAATGCAAATTTAATTAAAATAAATATAATATTAATATAAATATAATATTTTGGGTAAATTATTTTATAAGTTGACTGCAAATTTACTTAAAATAAATATAATAATAATATAAATAAATTTTTGGTAAATTATTTTATAAGTTGAATGCAAATTTAATTAAAATAAATATGATATAAATGTAAATATAATATTTTAAGTAAATTATTTTATAATTTGAATGAAAATTTATTTAAAATATTTATAATAAATATAATATTTATAATAAATATAATATTAATATAGATATAATATTTTAAGTAAATTATTTTTTAAACTATAACTGATTAGTTAAATTAAAATAATTATAACACACTTAATACAAAACTTATGGTTTTTTTTCAAGTGTATAAACTTGTTTTGCTCTTTGGGTCGCTTGTTGTGCGTAATTAAAACAATGTTTGTGTTGGCAGCTTTAAGAGACGCCGATGGAGTTGGAGTTATAGTTGGAGTTCGAGTGCGAGTGCGCGTTGTGTGACCGAAATTGAATCAAAAAAGTAAAATATTATATAGCATATTTCAAGGCGTTTACACGGCAGCCCAAGCGCAACGGCCGAGCGCGCAGAGCAGCCGAATGTTGATGATGATGAATGTCAGCGCCCTCACAAAAGAAGTAATTTTGTGTAAAAAGTAAGCAGCCCCCCTCTCCTAGCTGCCCCGCCCTCCGTTAGTAGGCGTGCCCGAAAGCCGTTACAACTGTTAATGACATTTACGAATGTTTGCGAGAGTCGCCGCACATAATGCCAAAATAATGACGATGGCTGGCTGGAGCCAGTCAACCAGCCCCCAAAATAGCACCCCCCAGCACCCCTCCCTCACCCCCACATGCAATAGAAAAATGACGCGGAAACTGTCAAAAATAAAAAAAAAATAAAAATGAAATAGAAATGCTGAAGGAGAATGGAAAAACCGCAGCCAGCGACAGCGTTTTGCGGTTTGCTTTACAAATGACCGTCGGCGTTGATAATGAAACTGTACCCTCCGTTAACCCACCCTCCCTTGCCCCTCGCCCTTGTTCAGTTCCCAGCCCCGCCCCGTCAAATTATATAATAACGGCGTCAACATTAGCAAATTGTTCGCTTCTCGCTGCATTCGGGCCCAAAGCCAAGCGGACTTTATTCAGGCTGTTCCGTTCCGTCTGGTTCTTGGCTTTAATGGAACTTGGCTCAAATGCGAATGCGATTGCCAGGCCTATGATTTGTATTCCTTGGCGGATACGGATTTCTGCTGCCATGACTATGCATAGTTTCAGGTGGATAGCCTGGTTAGTGGGGCAACTGTTAAGCATGGG